GGTATCCCACACAGCACTGCATCTGATCAAGGGACTCACTTCACAGCAAATGAAGTGCGGCAGTGGGCGCATGCTCATGGAATTCAGTGGTCTTACCATGTTCCCCATCATACTCATCCTGAAGCAGCTGGCTTGATAGAATGGTGGAATGGCCTCCTAAAGACACAAATTACAGCACCAGCTAGGTGGCAATACCTTGCAGGGTTGGGACAGTGTTCTCCAGGAGGCTGTATATGCTCTAAACCAGTGTCCAGTATGTGGTGCTGTTTCTCCCATAGCCAGGATTCATGGGTCCAGGAATTAAGGGGTGGAAATGGAAGTGGCACCACTCACTATTACCCCTAGTGACCCACTCACAAGATTTTTGCTTCCTGTCCCTGTGACCTTATGCTCTGCAGGTCTGGAGGTCTTAGTTCCAAAGGGAGGAATGCTCCTACCTGAAGACACATCACTGATTCCATTGAACTGGAAGCTAAGAATGCCACCTGGCCACTTTGGGCTTCTTATGCCTCTGGATCAACAGGCAAAGAAGGGAGTTACCATACTGGCTGGTGTGATTGATGCTGATTACCAAGAGGAAATCGGATTGATATTACATAATGGAGGTAAAGAAGAGTATGTCTGTTGAATGCAGGAGATCCCGTAGGGCATCTCTTAGTACTACCATGTCCTGTGATTAAAGTCAACGGAAAACTACAGCAACCCAATTCCAACGTAACTACTAATGACCCTTCAGGAATGAAGGTTTGGGTCACCCCCCAGGCAAAGAACCATGACCAGCTAAGGTGCTTAGTGAGGGCAAAGGGAATATGGAATGGGTGGTGGAAGAAGGTAGTTCTAAATACCAGTTATGGCCACATGACCAGTTGCAAAAATGAGGACTGTAATTGTTATGAGTATTTCTGCTTTGTATGTGTGCATCAGATATTTTTGTTTTCTTCATTTATAAAAATAATACGTAAATGGGGCTAGTGTGTTTTCACACTAGGGTGTTAGTTGTATCATGTTAGGTGCAAGTATGACTTTGTCTTTATTCAGAGATTACGTATGGTTTGGGGAGATGTGTACAGGTGCCAAGTTGACAAGGGGTGGACTGTAATGGTTAAGATTGTGTGTCAACTTGGCTAGGCCATGATTCTTAGTGTTTTGGCAGTTGTATCATGTTGTGATCACTTCCCTGTTGAAATTTGATATGTGCTCACCCTCATGATGGAATCTGCTGACTGGCACCGATGTGGGCAGGGCCACTGATGGCGGCAGGGCCTGTGCAGCTCACCACCCCCTCAGCCTTCATCTCTCTGCCCTCCACTGGCTACTTGCTTCCTGCTCGCCTGCCAAGGTTTTTGGCTTGTTCCGGACCCAGCAGCTGCCTCTTGTCGTCTCACCTCCGGTTCTTGGGACTTGAGCTAGTAGCTTACCTGTCAATCTTGGGATTAGTCGATCATCACAGCTGTGAGCAAGAATCCTGCTTCCCGACCTGCCAATCTTGGGTTCGCCAGCCCGTGCAGCTGCATGAATCGGGAGAAACCTTGGGGTCTTGCTTGCAATTTTGGAACTCGTCAACCTTCACAGCCTGTGAGTGGGAGCCCTGCTCTCTGACCTGCCAGTCTTGGGTTCCCCAGCTTCTGCGGCTGCGTGAATTGGGAGAGGCCTCTATCCTGATCCGTGGACTTGGGAAGTTCCAGCCTCTACAGCTGTTTTCTTGATATAAATGTCTCTCTATATATTTATACACATTACTGGTTTTGCTTCTCTAGAGAACTGAGCCGAAGACAGTAGCCATTCTGGTGAGTGTGAAGTAGTATCTCATTGTAGTTTTGATTTGCATTTCCCTAATGACTAATCCAACCAAATGCAGAATTTATTGAATAATATCATTAATATCACATGCAAGCAAAATTTTGCTGAAGATCATTCAAAAGCAGCTGCAGCAGTGTATCAACAGGGAACTGCCAGAAATTCAAGCCAAATTTAGAAGAGAACATGGACCAGGAATATCATTGCTGATGTCAGATGGATCCTGGCTGAAAGCAGAGAATACCAGAAAGATGTTTACCTGTGTTTTATTGACTATGCTAAGGCATTCGGCTGTGTGGATCGTAACAAATTATTGATAACTTTGCAGAGAATGGGGATTCCAGAACACTTAATTGTGCTCATGAGGAATCTGTACATGGATCAAGAGGCAGTCATTTGAACAGAACAAGGGGATACTGCATGGTTTAAAGTCAGGAAAGGTGTGCATCAGGCTTGTATCCTTTCACCATACCTATTCAATCTGTATGCCGAGCAAATAATCCTAGAAACTGGACTATATGAAGAAGAACAGGGCATCAGGATTGGAGGAAGACTCAGTAACAGTCTGCGTTATGCAGGTGACACAGCCTTGCTTGCTGAAAGTTCTTCACTTTCAAGCCCTCTTCGGGCTTGAAACACTTACTGATGAAGATCAAAGACCACAGCCTTCAGTATGGATTACACCTCAACATAAAACAAAAATCCTCACAACTGGACCAATAAGCAACATCACGAAAACGGAGAAAAGATTGAAGTTGTCAAGGATTTCATTTTACTTGGATCCACAATCAACACCCATGGAAGCAGCAGTCAAGAAATCAAAAGACACATTGCATTGGTCAAATTTGCTGCAAAAGACCTCTTTAAAGTGTTGAAAAGCAGAGATGTCACCTTGAGGACTAAGGTGCACCTGACCCAAGTCATAGTGTTTTCAGTCACCTCATAAGCATGCGAAAGCTGGACAACGAATAAGGAAGACTGAAGAAGAACTGACGCCTTTGAATTGTGGTGTTGGCAAAGAATATTGAATATTCTATGGACCGCCAAAAGAACGAACAAGTCTGTCTTGGAAGAAATACAACCAGAATGCTCCTTAGAAGCAAAGATGGCGAAACTATGTCTCACATACTTTAGACATGTTGTCAGGAGGGATCAGTCCCTGGAGAAGGACATCATGCTCGTTAGAGTGTCAGCGAAAAAGAGGAAGACCCTCGACGAGATGGATTGACACAGTGGCTGCAGCAATGGGCTCAAGCATAGCAACGATTGTGAGGATGGTGCAGGACCAGCAGTGTTTTGTTCTGTTGTACATGGGGTCGCTGTGAGTCAGAACCAACTTGATGACACCTAACAACAACAGTGACTAATGACGTTGAGCATCTTTTCATGGGCTTATTGGCCATTAGTCTGTCTTCTTTGGTGGAATGCCTATTCAAGTCCTTTGCCCATTTTCGATTGGGTTGTTTGTCTCTTTGTTGTTGAGTTGTAGGAGTTCTTTATATATTCTGGATAGTAAACCCGTATAAGATACATGGTTCTCAAATATTTTCTCCCATTCTGTGGGTTTTCTCTTCACTTTCTTGGTAAAGTTCTTTGATGTACAAAAGTTTTTAATTTTGATGAAGTATAATTTATCTTTTTTTTTTTTTTTTTTGCTCGTGCTTTTGATGTCTCATCTAAGAATCTGTTGTTGAAAACTAGGTCCCAAAGCATTACCCCTATGTCTTGTTCTAAGAGTTTTATGGTTTTAGTTCTTACATTTAGGCCATTTATCCATTTTGGGTTAATTTTTGTGTATGGTGTGAGGTTTAGGTTCATTTCATTCTATTGCATGTGCAGATGCAGCTATCCGAGCACTGTTTGTTGAAAAGACTATTCTTTCCCCATTGAATGGACTTTGGCACCCTTGCCAAAAGGGAATTGACTGTAGATGTATGGGTTTATTTCTGGACTTCGAATTCTGTTCCACTGGTCGAAATGCCTATTTTTATGCCAGTACGACTGTTTTTGACTATTGTAGCTATATAGTATATCTTGAAACTGGGGAGTGAGTCCTCCTGTTTGCTCTTCTTTTTCAACATTGCTTTGACTATTCAGGCCCTTACAATTCCCTACGAGTTTAAAAAGTAGAAAAACTGGTGGTTACCGTGAGTATTACATTTAACATGGTATAGTTGTAACAGTCTAGTTTAAATTCAACTAGTTAACCTCAGTAACATGCAAAAACTCTATCCATATACCGCTCCTCCCCCTTTGTGTTGCTGTCATCATGCATTACAGTATGTGCCCAATAACATAAATTTACGATTAGATTTTATTCATTTTTCTTTTTGAACCTTGTGTTACATAATTGCAGACTTACAAAACAAAGATGGTATAAAACTGTCCCTTACATTTGCTCATGAAACTACCTTTATCAGAGATCTTTTTTTTCCCCTATGTACATCTGTGTGTCTCTTCTCCTCTTTTATGAGGACATCACTAATGTTGGATTAAGAGCCCACCCTACTCCAGTATGACCTCATCCTAAATTACATCTGCAGTAACCCTATCTCCAAATACACACGCTGAGGTTCCAGAAAGAACATGGATTTTTGTTGGGGGGACATTATCCAACCCAGTGCATATTCTTTATGTCTACCTCTAGGGCTGTTACGAGGAGGGCTGAATGAGCAATTACTTGCAAGCAGTTTAAGACAGTGCTGAGTACCGTGTGTGTTAGCTATTATTAGAGTCCTTGGTCCTCTTCAATGCCTGATAACTACCCAGGTACCTTTAGCATCCCTTAGGGACATTAAAATGGTACCATATCACCTTATCATAATAGCTGGATTGTGAAGTCCCTCATTTCCCCTCTGACAGATAGAGGGCCAAAACACTGGCCCTTAAGCACCTTGGGCTATGGTCTCATTTCCAGTTAGTTTGGCTGACCCTTCTTTCTAAGTGTTTCATCTCACCTTTTTGGTCAGGGGAAGACACAAGAGCACACACCTGAGACCACTCATTACCCAGAAATAACCCCTTCCCTTGCATAATGCTTGTTTGTGTGTTCTTCTGTCTGATGAGGATGTCTGGAACTTAGATAAGGAGGTTAAGTGGATGAACAAGGAGGGAAAATCCTTAGGGTGTCCCACAGCATGACATTGAAAATCCTTCACATTATCATTTTATGTGTTACTAAATACCACCTTCTCTTCCTGTAGAATTTTATAGAAACTGACAGCGAGGGCAATGGCATTCTTCGACGACGGGATATAAAGAACGCTCTGTATGGTTTCGATATTCCCCTCACACCCAGAGAATTTGAAAAGCTTTGGACGAGGTAAGTGATATCTGAAGACTGGCTCTTTCCTTTGTCGATGGTCTTGGGTAGTTCGTTGCAGCAAATTCAACACAAATCTTTCATCACTACTTCAGGGTAAGGTGGGAGGCTGGCGATGGTTTTCTTTTGATTCTATTGGTCCTGTTTCCTTGTTCCTCATAGAAAGCAGCCTTGGTGAACAGGCTGATCTTCAGCAGCATGGAGAACTGGGTAAACACTCATCGACAGCACTAGACTTGAGAGGTTTGCATTTCCAAGAAACCATTAGTTCAAGCCAGCGCTTTTACTTTTTTGAGAACTAAGTCACTCTCCGAAGACTTAACTCTAATCCAGCGGGCTCAGCAGTCAGAGATGCAGTTGGTAAAGGAAGAAGCAGTGTCTCCCCATTGCCCAGAGATAGAAATCAGAGTTGCACAACTGTTTTGTAGATAAGTAATTTGTTGGAGGCAACTTTGGCAACTTGGAGTTGCTTCCCAAGGGTCTCTTAAACAGAAAATCATATCTAATGCTGGTTACATTTTTCAAAATGTATTTTTGACTTAGCTGTTTTTGAATCAGATCCCTAGTTATGATATTCCCCCTGTAGATGTCTAAGTTTCAAGGGGCACTAACCATGTGGTGTATTTCCAGGCTCCAGCTCCATCTTTGAATTACTACCTTCTTCATTATATATGATTGCCATTTGCATCCCCCAAGGGTAGTATAAACCCTGATTGTGCGTCCATTCAGGAGGCAAGCTCGTGAGACAGTTCATGGAATTTTTTAGCTTTTCATCTGTTCAAAGTGGAAGGCTGAAATGTTGGCTGAGTTTAGAATTAAGTGGGCTGTTTTATGTCTAATTTAGAAAAGCTACTTGAAGTTCTTACAAAATCCTTATTTATTTATTTTTTTTAGATCAATTCCAACACAGGCTCAATTTAGACTCCCTATCCATTTTCTTTACAGTAGGTTAAGTTAGTGGCTCTGGGTAATCAGAAGATCTCCATAGGCTGGCCGGTGTTTGGATCTACCACTGTGTGGACCTTTTGGATGATTCAAAGATGACTCCGTGGTCTTCAGGGAGCTGATAGTTTGTCAGGAGACAGAAAGCACCCACACAAAGAACTAGAGTTGAGTACTGACTGTGCCAAATGCCACTGCAGAGAACAAGTCAAGCGACATGAGAATTAAAAGCAAGAGGCTCAGGAGCCATGGAGGACTGGGAAGTCAACGTGGTGGAAGTGACACTGAAGTAGAAGTTCAAGGAGTCGAGATGGGAAAAGAGGGCATTACGAGTAGAAAGGACTGCCTGAACCACGGGGCAACCAATGGGCCTTCTATTGGTAGTGGCATGGGGCTCCCCGGGCCAGAGAGGAAGTCAGGCCGGGTCACCTCGCTGTGACTTTGTTTGCAGGCGTTATGAACCCAGCATTTGGGAACAATGAGTTTGATTGGGGTTGTGGTGTAAGCCAAGCCGTGTCTGAGGAAGATGAGTCAGGAACAGTTCAGAGAAGTGATTGGATGGGAAGGACCCATTGGGAGCCTGTTGACCACCAGAGTGGGCAGGTGGAGCCCTTGAGCTGGGTGCTGGCCATAGGGATGAGAGGCTCGGAGTCAGGTGCCCCACCAGGTTCCCACATAGAGAACAGGAGCACCCTGGACCTCTTCCTGAAGGCTGGGTAGAGCATGCTTCCGTTCTCACTGGAGAGAGACGGACACCGTCGCTTTTGGCAAAAGTTTCTTTGTACATTTACTAAGATTATAATTAAATGTACACATTCCAACCCTGTGTGGACAACTGTTTGGGGTCAGAATTTGGCCTACTTTTGCTTAGTTGGCCTTCGTGTCAGACTCTGTCCATCACAGACAGTGAGTGGGTAAGAAGTAAGCTCAGCAGCCACACACAAGGGCCTGACTCCTGTCTTCCCCCTCACAGCTCCGTGGCCTCCATCAAGTTACTTCTTCACTCTCCTCACCTGCCCCATGGCACTATGATCATACCTGTTGCCTAGGGTTGCTGTGAGGATTAGCTTAATTAATATGTGCAAAGTGCTTAGCACAGTGCCTGGCACGCAGTAACCACTCACTAAATGTAACAAGCCCCTCCTCATTTGTTCACTCGCAAACATTTCTTAAACACCTGGTTAGGTGGTTCTTTGCTGGGCTAGGGAGACCAAGACTAATAGTAAAGACAAATAACAATAAAGAGCTCGTCCCCTTGAGATGCTCATTTGGTGGTCTTAGGATGAGAAATGCGTGCATATTAATCACTGCAGCGCAGGGGTTCTTGAGGGAATGGACAAAGGCTCCAGAGATGGGTGCTTGCAAGCTGGGCCTTGACATTTGTCTGAGCTGGTATTGTCAGCACAGGCTCACTGCAGTAACAAACACGACCCGCATCGCGGTGGCTCACCCCAGTGGTGGTGTCCTGGTCCAGTGTGGGTGTCGGGAGCTCTGTCCTGATCATTCAGGGACAACCTCCTTCCTTCTGACGTCTCCCCATCCCCTGGATCTTCAGTGTCTAGCCAGCAGAGAAGGGAGACAGCATGAGGGATCATGTCAGCTCTGTGGGGGCTGGCCAGAAGCCATGGCCCTCTCTCCGCCACTTCCCGTGGACAAGGAGACACTCGACCCACCGCAGAGGAGGCTGGGAGAGGCGGTGTGGACGTGTGTGCAGGAGGGAAAGGAGAGGAAGATGGGGGAGCGCACCATGGTGATTGAAGGCCAAGGAGACTCCAGGGGTGTGCTGGTCAGTGCCCAGGCAGGCCCAGGTGGGAGGAGAGAGACCACCCCTAACGTTCACAACCAAGAGAGATGCAAGGCAGACAATCAGAAAAGGAAGCAGAAGTAGGGGCTGCGGTGTCTCTCAGAGATCAGGAGGCTGCTGCCTCCCACCCAGGCTGGAGGAGCAGAAGAGGAGGGCTGTCAACGGAGAGTAGGGAACTACTCCCCACCCAGGGGCTGGAGGAGCAACAGGGAGACAACGGGGCATTTCTGGGACATCGGGAAGGTGCCTCCACCACCCGGCTGGAGCCCACAAGCCAGTCTGGCCAGGTGCCCCGACGCCCTAGGGCCGCTGTCCCCGAAGCCGCTGGAATCTCAGCCTCTGCCGCCCCGGAGGTGCCACAGGGAGCAGCATGGCTCGGCCCCCTCCCTGCCCTCTGATCCAGCTTGGGCACCCCCCTGTGGCAGAGCCCCACCAGAAGCAGCCCTCTGGGGGGAGTGCAGAGGAAAATGCAGGAGGAAGAGTGTGGGGCTGAGTGAGGGCCGCCTCACAGATATCCAGCCTCAGGGGCCCAGAAGAGGTCGTCCTTGGGGCTCTGAGTAGGCCAGGCGGCCAGAGCATAGAACACACGGCAAGAGCCAGGGATGAGGCTGGAACAGGGCCACGGAGGGCCTGTGTGCGAGCCTGAAGGCCAAGGGCTAGCAGGGAAAAGGCACGGGCAGGCCTGCATTCTGGAAAGATCACTCTGGCCACAGCCAAGAGGAAGAACTTGAAAAGGCAGGGGCAGAGGCAGGGAGAGACTTAAGGCTGTCTCAGCTGGCCCAGCAAGGAAAGGCACTGCGGGTGCTGGGAGGGAGGGACGGATTTGAGAGGATGTAGGAAGTAAAAAGTAACCTTTATGCAGTACATACATACAATGGAGTATGACTCAGCCGTAAAGAGAAAGGAAGTCCTGCTGCATGCTACAACGTGGATGGACCTTGAAGACATCGCACAGAGTGAAGGAAGGTAGTCAGGAGAGGACAAATGTCTGATCCCACTTACAGGAAATAAGCAGATTATATACAGAGACCAAAGTTTATTAGTGGTCACCAGGGGAGAGGGGGAGCCGTTGTTAGGGGCCACTGGGTTCCTGTTCACGGTGGTGGAATAATCTGGGAAAGGATATCCGTGACGGTGGCGCAACGCAACGTAATCAGTGTAACCGAACTGTACGTGTAAAAAATGGTGAACTGGCAAAGGTTTTGTTATATATATTTTTACCACAATTATAATTTTAAAAAGTACATGCTAGAATACAAACCATGTTGCTGACTTTAAAACAAAAAATCGCCTCTGGTAGCCTGGAAGTCAGGGCTGCCTGAGAAGGAGGGCACTGCTGGGTGAGTCCTCCTCCTCCTGTCTGTGAGTCACGCGTAGAGATGGCGGAGACTCCCTGAGGTGGCTGAGTGGCCCACAGCTGAGGGCTCTGCTCTCAGGAGTGTCATCCACACCCGCGGCTGAGCCGCGTGCCTTAGGCCTGTGCTGACTGTCTCCGGGCTTCAGCCGTCTATCAGGTGGGACGGTTATGGGGACTGAAGTATCGAATGCGTGCAGGGCGCCTGTCACGTGCTGCCCACTAAAAACAGTAGTAGCAACAAGTAGCAACAAGATCGTGTAGATACGAAAATTTTTTCTGATTATAATATTAATGCATACTCATTTTGGAAGGCTCAGAAAATCCAGAAAAGCATAAAGTAAAAGAAAAGACAGCAACAGCAGATCAGCCAGAACCCCCTCGGCCAAGGCAACAGACAGTGGCGACTTACTGGTGTCGTTTTTGGTCGTTTGTCTCCCCGTTTTGGCAGTATCATACTGCCCGACCTCGGCGCGTTCACGCTCCTGGGCTTGTTCCTGCACGCCTTCCGCGTCTGTTGAAAACCCATGTCCACTGCCTCTGAAATCCCTCTCTCACTGCAGCGGGGGGCCTTAGAATGGGCAGGAGGGGCCCAGTGGCCCAGTGGTGGGTTGTCAAGGGACTGAGGAGGCTGTTCCAGTTGCCATAACAACGAGAAGGGTGGTCTGGGACAGGTGGCAGCAGGACAGGCACCCCACCATGGGGCGGTTCTAGGTGAGTCCAATGAGTAGGGACCACCAGGAGCCGTGAGGCATTTGGAACCAGTGTGGCTCACAGTGACAGCTCAGAGAGTTCTGGAGGTCCCGTCAGTTGTCAGAGCAGGAGAGACCGCCCAAAGGTTGAATCGGCAGAGCAAGTAGGAAAATAACATCCTGCTCTTTTGAAAAAAACATAAATTTA